ATCTAGGTTCTAGGTGTGGCAGATATACTGACTGTTAGCTTAGTGTACTTAAGTAATAAGTAGCTGTACTGTTATCTCACTAGTTTGACAAACACTAAATTACAGTGATGAACAATCTCAACACTGTAACACAAACAGGACCTTAGCAAGAACTAGTTTTACTAACAGTTACACAGTGGTAAGGAGTAGATTATTAATTATATTGAAAAGTATAAGATTGTTTACCTCTGAATTTAAATTTGTTTTCTTTTGAAAGCTTTGATAGGTGATCCTATTAGCATTTTCACAAATTACAACAAAACTCGCATCGTGTTCTTGAAAGAGTGAATAATTAACAAGAAAAGATGTCTTTAATCAATCTAAATTGTGATTGGCTCTATCCAGCAACTTAAAAACCGCTGTCGTTGGCTCGTTACTAATTTAGGATTGAAAGTTAGCATGAAACTTAGCAGATTTTGGAAGAGTATCGTATTTTTAACAGCGAAAGTAGCTATCTTTGTAGATTTTTGTTGTCATAACAAAAAAACTGTGGGTCGTCATTTAATAGAAGAACAAATAGGAATAACATAATTTTTGCAAACAAATCGACTGAGCAGTTTTTAAATTGGAGTCCTCTTATTACGTCTTACTTAACTAATGTCATTAATGAATAAACAATGCATCATAGGAAAAAAAATAAACTTGATTCATGATATAACTTTATCGAGACAACAGCTTACTGAGCCAGCCCATTTTGGTTTGCCCGCCGTGATTTTGAATAAGAAGAACTCTAGAAGACGACACATTTCTGCTAAACGGTGATTCGCCGCACAACGCTCCTTAAAAACTATTCCATCATAACAGTCATTGCATCGTAGGTATTTTATTTAAAAACAAAAGCTTTGTTTCAATAATTATTTTTTAGGCTACCGATGAATTTTGATACATTAAATTGGTATCAAATTAAAGGTAAATCAATGTAGTTTTTTGTTGTTTAAGTAATCTTAGTCGTCACCCTAGTATAAGTTTACTAACAGAGTCCAAGCGTCTCTGTGACAGCTGAATGGGTTTTGTCAGCACAAACTCGAACCACCCCTACATTGAATGACACGATACATTAGAGTTGGATGCAAGTATTTCCGGGTATTTTTTGTCCATTGGGTTTATGACAGGACACCGTTTGAACATAAAAATAATACGCACAAGGCTAATGAGATATGGAGGCCAGACTAGGGCCTAACTTGTTTAATTAGTCTATTTTAGAAATATACAGTCCATGTTTACTTTTGACCCGACCAATGTATGGTAATGTTATTATCTCCTGTCTGTTAACCATACCCTTAGCCTACTTTAGCAACTACTGCAATCTATCTTAGTCTTTAATCAATATTCTATTAGTTTAACTATTAGAATTCTAGTAACTACGAACAACCTCTAATATTGCCTAGTTCATCCCCACACTACTTACATATGCCCCACCCATTATATTAATTTATTCTCAAATTTGCATTTATTTGAGTCCAGTGTTTCCACACACCTTACGGTTCTCTCTTTATCTAAATAGAAACGGAACATTCACGAAATGCCTCAATCTCACCCCCAACCCCAACCCCAACGAAAATACATACGCACTTCAGATTACTTTTTTCACTCAATAAATGATAGCTTGAAGATCTCAAAAAACAAAATCGATAACTTATTAAGTTTGGAGCGTTTCGAACACTAGTCGTATTATCATGGGCATTTTAAAACTATAAATAATAAATAAAAACAAAAAATGTCTGTCTGTCTGTCTGTCTGTCTGTCTGTCTGTCTGTCTGTCTGTCTGTCTGTCTGTCTGTCTGTCTGTCTGTCTGTCTGTCTGTCTGTCTGTCTGTCTGTCTGTCTGTCTGTCTGTCTGTCTGTCTGTCTGTCTGTCTGTCTGTCTGTCTGTCTGTCTGTCTGTCTGTCTGTCTGTCTGTCTGTCTGTCTGTCTGTCTGTCTGTCTGTCTGTCTGTCTGTCTGTCTGTCTGTCTGTCTGTCTGTCTGTCTGTCTGTCTGTCTGTCTGTCTGTCTGTCTGTCTGTCTGTCTGTCTGTCTGTCTGTCTGTCTGTCTGTCTGTCTGTCTGTCTGTCTGTCTGTCTGTCTGTCTGTCTGTCTGTCTGTCTGTCTGTCTGTCTGTCTGTCTGTCTGTCTGTCTGTCTGTCTGTCTGTCTGTCTGTCTGTCTGTCTGTCTGATCAAAATATCTTACACGTATAACATGCTGCGAAAACCAAAGTCAATACAAGCTTTACTCTAACTGGCTTAATTGCTGTAACTGCTGTAAAATAAGTCATAAACCAAAGCTTTGAAGTTTTTCATTAAAAATACTAATGTGAGGTTCAGCAATTTGTTTTCCTTGCTAGTTGAAAAGTATTTTTAATAGGGACACCTTAAGTAGATGAATTTAATCGGACCAGTTGAGGTTGTGATCTATAATCAACCCAAGGCAATTGTAGCTCTTAACATGTTCGATGCTTCTATTGTCTATAATAATGCCTAAAGTGTTGGATGGAAGACGATGATGTTTCTGATGAGTAGTAAAGGGCATTGACTTAGTTTTATAGGGGTGAAGTTTAATTTTTGTTCATTTTTGCCCAGGTAACAAGCTTATTGGCCCATATTTTAAGTTTATATGTAACTGAGTCAGCACTGTCTGCAAAGACGTGAAACGAAGTATCAACAGAGAACATCTTTCACTGACCTGCGTTGATGTGCAATGCTAGATCATTAATGTATACTGAAAAAAGTACAGGACCTAAGGTTGAGCCCTGTGGAACCCACATACTAACATTTCTGTGAAGAAATTGTAGTAAGGTAAAACACACGATGAGATCTGTTAGATAAAAAAGGAATTAGTTTTTTAAGATGTATGGTGTGATCAATAGAATCAAAGGCTTTTCAGAAATTGATGAACAGCGTGCCATAATGTAGTTATTTGTTAATATTTTTGAGTCAGTTTTCATTTATTTAAATCAAAGCTGTGTGACAAGAATAAAGCTTTCTAGACCCAGATTGATGACTGTGGAAAAAATTATGCTTTTCTAGGTAGTTTGACATGCATTTTTCTATATGCATTTCTAATAGTTTGGAGAGGGAAGAAAGTATTGAAATTGGCGTGTAGTAATTAGGATCTTGGATGTTATCTTTTTTGTGTAGTGATATAACCTTAGCATAATTAAAATGTTTCTGGTAATATTGTTTGGCGATACAGAGGTTATAGTTATATGTCAAAACTTCAGAGAATATTGGAGCTGAAATCTTTAATACTTTATTAGAGATGTCTTCAAACAAAGTTGTTGTAGGCGGTCTAAGAGATCTTATGCTAACATAACTTCATGAACCATCAGAATGAGCAGAATTACAGAAATGTTTAAGCTTCTTGCTGATTGTGTAATTAGCATCTGTGTTGAGCGCTATCGATGATATGAAATTGACTACTGAAGTCATCAGCAGATATCTGGTATGTGCAGCTGTATGGCATGTATGTTTTTTCCTAATTATTTGATTTTTGGCCATCCAAATAGCAAATTAGATTTGCCTGACAACGTTTTTTTTAAATGCTCCTTCTTCAACCTACGCACCTAATGTATTTGCTAATTAAAGTCGTCAGTAGTTCCATTATAGAGACCGTGGAACCAGATTCATATTGATGAAATTAATATATATTTTTTTTGGGAACAACCACAGATGTCCACTAAATGCTGGTGCTGTGGCTCTATTCGCCATTACCAATATTTTTGGTTTGAGCTAATCTGGTGTGATTATGTTGTTTATAGCGACTCAATGTATAATGAATATATGAAAACCTTATTTAGCTCTTAGGATAAAACATGTACTCATGAGGATAGAAATGTGGAGACATGTACCCAGCAGAAATTCCCAGAATTAATTAGAATGTTGTTGACCATTAAAATGATATGAAGTGTATATGTCATCTTAGAGATATTGTTAGGTGGATGAGTATGTTGGACTACTGGTGTGTTGATTAAAGATAATTTTATTTGTTTACGAGAAGAGTGGGTAATGTATGATGTGTGATTCATCAGGGTATTTTGGTGCGAATAAATGTTGAGATATAACTAATGCATGGATTTGATGACTCAGATGAAAGTAGAGACGTTTTTGAGTAGAAACTGTTTATTATAGTATTCAAGCTAGAGAGATGTGGCTAGGTAGTGAGTGTGTGAGGTACACAGTGTCATGGGTATATTAAAGACAATTGTATCCTGAATAGAGAAGACCAGTATTTAAATAAAGACTTGAGAAAGAAAATAGTGGCCATCTTGTCGAGTGATTATAGCCTGTGTTGTTGTTACGTGTAACAGCTGATAATAATAGTGGCTTGCTTTACATGGTAGTGGGTCAAGTCTAGTTAAATTATCTCATAGCTCTATTACCTCCCCCCCCCCCCCGGCCTCCACTTGACAATACTAATTTCATCCAACAGCTTTAAGATCTAAACAAAATCAATAACTTATTAATGTTTGGAACATTTCGAACAACAGCCGATTTATCATAGGCGTTGTAAAATGTAAAATCTCCAAACATTTGCTAAATTAAAAAATGTTGTATTAGAGCAACAGTTTCTTCCCCAGTCTACCAAATTATGTGTTTTCCTGAGGAGCAAAGGGCTGCAGCTACAAATCTACCGATTCTTTGTTCATATGATATTCATCAACAAAATAAAAACATGGTTACCTACAAATAACACAGTATAACTCTTCTAAAATGTTTCCACAAATTGTGTAACATTTGTTAGTAGTAGATTTTCATCTAAATACATTTGGGAATAAAAAAAATGAAATAAAAATGATACTAATGAATACTTATGTATACAACTAATAGTTAGAGAAGCTGAGAGAAATAGGTTTGAATGAAACGCCTATGTTAAAAAACACGGAGTCACGTGATATCAAGACGGTAGTGTTTTGCTGGCCAATCAGACTTGAACACGTGAAGATGTTCATTTATAACTGTGGGTTATAATTGTTCAAGACTCCCTGTGGTAGTTGCGGTATTATTTCTTCATATATTGATGTGCTCGTTGATATTTGATTCTACTTTGTAGTACTTTACAGTCGGATAAACAATTGTGCAGTGGGAAAGAGGAACACAGTAGGTCTTAATTTTATACTGCGGGGTAAATATTATAATTTGTCTCTTTTAGCCGAACAGTTTGTACTAATTTATCAGGAGAAAATGCTTTTCTCCTGAAGAAAACACACCGAAGTTTTTTTTTTTGGGAAGCAAAAAATTTATAGATTTAAAATGTAGACTTACATTTTGATAAGTGCTGCAGTGTGACTAAGTTTTCTTTTCGGCCATGACGGTCATGGAGCAAGTGAAGTAGTTGACCTGTTTTTTTTTTTTACTTTGGTATACGATGAGATAATGTGGTCAACACTATGTCCTAACTGAGTGGTCTTACGGACGTTCTACTGATTTAAACTCAATACTTTTGAGTAAATAGTCTATCCCTCTATCGCTAGACCACGCCGTTCCAGTGTGACTAAATCTCGACACATAGAATATTATATTGAATTTTCAAAAATTGTATTTAAGGTATTATTTTTTTCAGAAAATGGATATCCTGAAGTTAACCTCATATTTACAGCCACTTCTTCTGATGAGCTTCATACAGGAAGCTACAGGGGAAAATATCTCCAGCAGTTATCCAGAATCTTTTCATACTCGTCAGAGTTCTTCAGGCAACAGATTGGTAATACTTTTTTTTGGTGGCAAGTATAATAATACACAAAACATATGGATTAATGAAAGTTCAATCCCTGTTTCTATTCATTAAGAATATACAAGAACGTTTAGGAAAGATTAATTCCGCTATCTATTCCCTTTTTATTGAAAAATTGTATAAAGCCTTTTTCTTAAAACATTTTTATTTATTTTTTTAATCTCATTTATTAAGTAATTGTCATTTTCATTTGAAGATATACATTTTTAAATTCTCAAAAACATGCAGCCTAGTCATGGCTTATAAAAAACCATTATAATTTTGCAGAGGAAAACATCCTACACTTATAACATCCTGTCAACATCCGGGAACCAAACGGCCTATACTATAAATGGATTCATCCCTTTAACTGCTGTAAGGTAAGTCATAAAACAAAGCTTTAAATTTTTGAATTAAAATTTGCTTAAGTTAAATGCAGATAACACAAAATAAGATACTTATGTATTTGTACTTATATACGCACTTATATACTCATGAACGTATGCTCTTTTGTACGTATGTGTGACAGTAGATATGAATGTATATACGATAGTTCGTTTTTAAATGTGTATGTAGACTATGTATGAAAAATTATTTTGGTATAATGGTCGTATAGATTTAGAATAACTAAATAAAAACGATCAACAATTAGCATATAGATAAGCACAGGAAAAATCTATATACTACTAAAACTCAAGTTTGTTTACATGTTTGAATATTTATTTGTTTGTTTGTCTGATTTGGTACTGTAAGGAAACTGCTCTATATGGGGGGCTGTAAAATAGTATATAGGTAGAGAACAATTTTTGTTTGCAGACATACTGTTAATCAGACATTTATTTAAAGACGTTAATTAATTTATTAGGTAGATTAACCACATTAATTGTAAATTTTTAGAACAATTGCTTAACTTTGACTGAATAGTAACGTTTAATAACTCATTTTTTTTGCTTGTTTGTTTTTCTTTTTTGTTATTGGGGAGAATCTGCATTATGTGTAGAGCTGTAAAATAGGATTTTGGGTGGTAAATATTGTTCTTTCTTAAACACACTGCTAATTACAGACTAATTTAAAGCCGTTAATTAAGTTATTGATATATTCATTGGTAGATTAACCACATTAATTATAAAAGTTTAGAACAATGACTTTAGTAATAGTAAATAGATTCATTTTCTTTATACAACGTATGTTTTCAATTATTTTTTCTTAAGGCCTATATGTGAATCATAAAGTTGACTATCAGGACCTCTCGTGGCACAGGGCAGGTGAAGTAGAGTTCACCTGTTTCTATGTTCTCAGCATATGAAGTGATAGTGTGGTCAGAGCCATGCTCGGCCGGAATCTTTTTTTTTTTAAAATACAAACATTTCTGAGACTTGGCGGGGCACTGGGCAGGTGAAGTAGAGTTTAGTAGAGTTTAGTAGAGTTTTTAAAATATAAAAAACGTCTTTTCGAATGTGGGGTCTGGTTATTTTGGGATGAAAAGTGATGGCAGACGTGATGACATTTATGGATGACCCCCCGAAACCCACAGTTATCTAACTAGATAATGGGTAGTCTAGTTATTTTTAAATATGTGGGTAGCTTTTAGTGCGGAGGGGGGGTGGACTGACATGAAATGCTGACTACGGTTAAATAAGTTGTAGCTTCCATTATGGGGGGTGGAATGCCATGGAAAGCTGACTAAGGTTGAATAAGTTAAGCGGTATCGAAGAGCTTGAGAGGAAGAATAAGAAAGTAGTTGCCAGAACGTAATGCTACGGGATGCGCATCTAACATGTTGGCCCGAGCTTGACACAGAAAAGTTGACACCATGTGGATGTCGATAGAAATCTTTTAGATTGTTAAATAGAAGCCTAGAGCCAGAGACACGAGGGAGAGATTAAACTCATGTTGATGTTCGAATATATCTGCTAGGTATGATGCTCTATCCAACCACTCTTTATCGTTAAAGTGTATTAAAAGGTCATGTTTCCCTTGTATTTCTAAGAACAACTTAATTTCATCTTTCAATACAAAAACACGATTCACATTATTTCCATTTACCGCCAGCGTACTGCAGTGTGGAAAAGCAAAACCTCCTGATCTTTATTCATGTCTTTGTACAGTTTTTTTTAAACATACGGATGTTTATGGCTCCAGATTAAAAATAATTTACGACTTTTATTAGCAGTGGAGTCGGAAGAGTCCTATTGGCGAGGGCATACCGATGAATCTTGCAGTGGATTCCCCTTGCTTATGGAGCTAATCTTTTACATTTACCTGAAAGCCAGATTTTGACCCAAATATAGATGGCACACCATCAGTACAAACCCCACAGCCGTTTTCCCATTTTAATCATCCAGTTTCAATAAACGTATTTATTTTCTCCATGATATTTTCACAAAATAGCAACACTTCTTTGCTATTATTTTTATGAATATATTTCACAAAGACCAGCAACTGCTAACACGAACTCACATCTGTTGATTCATAAATTGAAAAAGCAAACTGAAAAAGCAAATTGAAAAGCAAACAGTGGTGAAAGCTTGATTTAATTCAAAAAAATTCTTTAACATCTACGGACATATCTGCAATAAGCCGCTGAACAGTATTATTAGACAGATATATTTATTGCATCTTTACTGCAATAGAATCCCTAATCATTAATTTCACCATCTTCAACACGCAAGTGTTGGTAAGATTTACTCCTATTCGTTTGCTTCATATGCGAAAGAATATGCGAGAAAATTTAAGGGAATTCATTCCATATTTATTTTTTTTAAATGAAAATGCAGATCTTGTAATCAGTAATTAAAGATTTTCAAAAGGTAACTAAAAAACAATATTATTCAATGGGTGGGCATTCAAATATAACGACTCGAGGAGGATGGAGGGGAGAGGTTCCAAACTAGTCGATCTTCGTGTTTGCTTATGACCAGGTGATGTGGTTCTAAAGTATCGATATTTTGGTGAATGTTGTTTGATATCAAGTATGTATTGAAGACTAGGTGTAACAGAGGTGTGTGGATAAAAGTTGTGTAATTTTTGTATAAAAATTAAATCAACAACCATTGTCTTTATTTTGATGTTATCAACTCTCAGGTTTAATATTGAACTGTGTCCGGAATCCGATTGTTTCCCAGTCATTGCTTTTCAATTCAACGTCCGTCTGAATACAAATCTTGTGGTAAGGAATCATAAGACTAATGGTAAATGGGCCAGTGAAGAAACATATGGAGGTATGCCCTTCAGAAGAAATGCCAATTTCAAAGTAACAATTAAAATTACTGAAAGATGCTATGAGGTTGGTATACACAATTATTTTCTGGTCGAATTATTTTAACACTTCATTACTTCCGAATGAAAGAAAATCAATTCGAATTTTTAAATTTCACAGGTGTATGTTAACGGTGTTTATTTCTGCATGTATCTGTATGCAATCCAACCCGAAAATGTTAATTTCATCAAAGTTCATGGTGATGTTCAACTAAAAAGAATAGCTGCTGGTGTAAGTTGAATTTTTACGAGCTTTTATTTCCTTCATTTTAGTAAAGGTATCCAATAGATAATAAAATGATGCACCTATTTACTTTCTCGGATACGAAGTATAAAGAAAGTATTGAAATCACGCAAAAAAATCGAGATTTTTGCAAATCTCGACGTTTCACACCGACGGAGTCGGGAAAATCATAGTTTTGCAATCTTGTCCTTATTTCTCTATGTGTATGTGTATGTGTATGTGTATGTGTATGTGTATGTGTATGTGTATGTGTATGTGTATGTGTATGTGTATGTGTATGTGTATGTGTATGTGTATGTGTATGTGTATGTGTATGTGTATGTGTATGTGTATGTGTATGTGTATGTGTATGTGTATGTGTATGTGTATGTGTATGTGTATGTGTATGTGTATGTGTATGTGTATGTGTATGTGTATGTGTATGTGTATGTGTATGTGTATGTGTATGTGTATGTGTATGTGTATGTGTATGTGTATGTGTATGTGTATGTGTATGTGTATGTGTATGTGTATGTGTATGTGTATGTGTATGTGTATGTGTATGTGTATGTGTATGTGTATGTGTATGTGTATGTGTATGTGTATGTGTATGTGTATGTGTATGTGTATGTGTATGTGTATGTGTATGTGTATGTGTATGTGTATGTGTATGTGTATGTGTATGTGTATGTGTATGTGTATGTGTATGTGTATGTGTATGTGTATGTGTATGTGTATGTGTATGTGTATGTGTATGTGTATGTGTATGTGTATGTGTATGTGTATGTGTATGTGTATGTCTGTATGTCTGTGTCTCTGTGTCTCTGTGTCTCTGTGTCTCTGTGTCTCTGTGTGTCTGTGTGTCTGGGGTATGTGTGTCTGTGTGTCTGTGTGTCTGTGTGTCTGTGAACACGATAACTTGAGTACCTTTACAGCTGGGTTGATGAAACCAAAATTCCAGCGTTCTATGCGTAATCAAGTTGGAAAAACTGGGCTTTGCAATTCTCTCCGTATGTCTGTGCGTGTGTGTGTATGTGTGTGAGTGTGTAAACACTATAACTTGAGTACCGTTACAGCTATTATTATTATTAATCAAGTACTACATCAAATTTGTGGTTCTGTAGATCCGTATCATTTTTTGAGCGATTTCCGATAACCGGAAGTGGAACTTTTTTTACTTTGAATTGAGTACTGTTTCAGATAGATAAAAGATTTAATTCTATCAAATTTTGAGTAATTTCCTTTGACCGGAAGTAGTAATTTATGCTATTTCAGTTTTCTTAAAAACGCATGTACATTTTTAAAGTACTTATAACATTTCGCGCTGTAATACACATTTTGTTTTTATAATTAAATTGGTCTTCAAATTAAGTTTTGATTAACAGTTTGGTAAAAAAAAACATTTTTTATCTACCTTAATGCATATTTACAGCTCTACATATAGTGTAGATTCTCTCCTGTAACAACACAGACAAAAAAAAAATAAAAATATACAAACTTGTAAACATACTTGAGTTTTAATGGTATATAGATATTTAACTGGATAGGGATGGGGTTAAAATTAGCGTTATGTATTCTGATAGGCTTAGCAAGAAATGTTTGAATAGGTTAGGATAGTTTAAGGGATAGCGTTTGGCTTAAGAATGGGGTTCGGATAGGTTTGGGGCTGTAAATGTTCTTGATAACTGCAGGTTTTTAAAATTATTATTTAGATAATGTAGAGATAGTACTAACACCAAATACCCGGAGGGGCCCGGGTTATGGGGACTTTGTACAGTTTCACATAAAAAAAAACGCATGAGAAATTTTTAGTTAGCTTTAGTAACTAACACTTTTTAACAATCAAATGTTTAGGTATGAGTGTAAGTGTGTGAGAAGTTATATAGGCGATCAATTTACTATTCGGCTCTAGATACTGTTGATGATGATATTCAGATTAAAATTACGGTTTGAGGACGAGGGTGAGGGTTAGAGGGATTATAAGGGCTGGGGTGAGTGTGTGGATCAGGCTTAGGTTAACATTATCCCTCCGGGAGCCAAAACATTGTTTATCATACAGATCAAACAAACAGATCTACTGCAGCAGTGATTGTTCTACAGCAGGGGTCTCCAAACTACGGCCCGCGGGCCGAATGCGGCCCGCGAGGTCCTCTCATCCGGCCCGCGGCGATCTTTTTGTCCTCGGAAAAAAACGTTTGTTGGTGATGGCTGAGGAACTTTGCCCAGAAAAATCAAAGAAATATCTGGAACTAACTGGCCCCCGAACTGAAATTTGATAGTTAATGCGGCCCTCGGAATGAAAAGTTTGGAAACCCCTGTTCTACAGTAACTAACACACCGTTGCATAGACAAGAAAACAACATGAGCTCTAGTGTGAAAGATTGACAAATTTTCAAATCAATTCCATCACTTATCACAACTCTTTGAATTATTAATACTAATAGTTTCGCTGTCTGTCTATCTATCTATCTATCTGACAAGAACGCTGTAGAGAAAACACAAGGAAATTAAAAACATGCATAGTATTTCGTTAAACGAAGTATGACGTCGACACATTTAGCACAGAGTAGAAAATAATCTCAAACCGGAGAGTGCACACAGTAATATGACGTCATTGATTTTCGAGTAAACATTGAATAAAAAGGAAATTTTGTCTTATCTAAGTGGTTTGCGTGAAGAGTTTCTTTCATACAATTCTTCGGGCAGGGGCGAAGCCCCACCCCCGCGTAAGAACGTCTGAGCCCCCCCCCCCCCCTCCCTAACTCAAAAGAAATTTCTTCATCGATACTCTATAATAAAATTACCGCCTAATTAATGTGTCTAATCTAAAAAGTGGTTTTCTTGCAATTTCTTTAATGCAATTCTTCGGGTAGTGGCTAAGCGCGACACCAGTGTTTCTTTCAGCCTTTTTCCTCCCCGGAGAGGGGTGGGGGTACTTGAAATTTTCGGGGGCGGGGGTAGAATTTTCTGGGAGGGGGCGGGCACTGGAAAAAGTATATAATTATATTTCGTTGAATGGGACGGTAGACATGTTTTGGGGTGTATGTGTGGGGGGGGGGCGGAGCCCCCTCCTCCCAAGTAGGGTTGCCTGAAAGAAACTCTAAATGCGACTTTTGTCATGAATAAGATTAGGTGCATGGTTTAGGGATATGCCTATGACTATATTTTGTATAAATTAAAGTACAGAGAAAATAGACAGCACTATCAACCTAGCGCCCGTTGTATCCTTCCTCAACGGGCCATTTTTCTCGTTCTATATAATAGTTTCGCTGTGTATCTATCTGTGTATCTATGTATCTATCTGACAAGAACGCTCTAGAGAAAACACAAGCAATTTAAAAACTTTCACAGTGAAACGAAAACGAAATATGACGTCACATTTAGCATATAGTAAAAATAATCTCAAGCCGGAGAGTGCACACAGTAATATGACGTCATTGATTCTCGAGTAAACATTGAATAAAAAGGCAATTTTGACTAATCTAAGTGGTTTGCGTGAAGAGTTTCTTTCATACAATTCTTCGGGTAGGGGCGAAGCCCCACCCCCGCGTAAGAACGCCTGAGCCCCCCCCCCAACTTAAAAATTTTTTTTTCATCGATACTCTATAATAAAATTACCGCCTAATTAATGTGTCTAATCTAAAAAGTGGTTTTCTTGCAATTTCTTTAATGCAATTCTTCGGGTAGTGGCTAAGCGCGACACCAGTGTTTCTTTCAGACTTTTTCCTCCCTGGAGGGGGGAATTTTTCTAATCTAAAAAGTGTTTTGCGAGTACAGTTTTTTTTCATGCATCTCTTTCCGTAAGGGCGAAGCCCCGCCAAGGTTCTTCCTTTAGTTTGTATGATCTACAAATGCGACCAGTGTTTCTTTCAGACTTTTCCCTCCCCGGCGAGGTGTGGGGGTTGTTGAATTTTTTGGGGACTGGGGGGTAGAATTTTCTGGGAGGGGGCGGACACTGGAAAACGTATATAATTATATTTCGTTGAATGGGACGGTAGACATGTTTTGGGGTGTGTGTGGGGGGGGGGGGAGCCCCCTCCTCCCAAGTAGAGTTGCCTCAAAGAAACTCTAAATGCGACTTTTGTCATGAATGAGATTAGGTGCATGGTTTAGGGATATGCCTATGACTATATTTTGTATAAATTAAAGTACCGATTCTGGATAAAAATCCGTTTTCTATGTCATTTTTGTTTCCGGTTAATTGAATTAAGATGGTGATTTTGGTTTTGGTTTTAGTTTATAGAAAATAGACAGCACTATCAACCTAGCGCCCATTGTATCCTTCCTCAACCGGCGATTTTTCTCGTAGTCTAATAAGGGTGCTCATTTTAATAATTTTGTACTAAACTGATTAAAAAGCATTAGAGACAAAATATCCCCGACAAAATATATCAAGGATACATGACCAAATCTCTCAGGATAAAAAATATCAGGACAAAATATATCAGGACAAATATTACCATGGACAATGATCGCTGGCAAAATATCTCAAACAAAATATCTTAATAAAAAATAAATGTTTATATTATATAAAATTATTTTAATAGATTTTAACTTTTTAAATCGATTATCATTTGCTTTTTATATATCTTTTTTCCTCACACGTAATAATTGTGAGGAAAGGTTTGTCGCATAGGTTTGTTACATTACATTAAACGTAATGAAATTGATTACAAATATATTCGAAGATTAAAAAAAAAACTAAGTTTCAATAGACAGTGAAGGTGGTTTTGTCAAGCATAAGACAATCCTACTACATCTGAATGACGAATCTAGATCAAAAGAATTCATCTATGTAAGGAGGGGCTATGAAAAGATGTAGCAAGGTTGCCGCTCACTTTATTGGCGGAGACATGCCCTAAGAGAGAGGATGTTCGCTCTCTGTGGACAATACAACTATCGTTTATAGTCAATAGTGATATTTAGGTCACACTCGGGTGATCACGGGACAAATGTTTATTTAAACCATAGTGTTCATTGCAAAGCAAAGTTAATTATAGTATACATTCCATCAAAGCAGTTTTACTTGTGATAATCTAACTTTAGCCTCTCTCTTTACATTGCTCACGGGACAAATGTTTATTTAAACCATAGCGTTCGTTGCAAAGCAAAGTTAATTATAGTATGCATTCCAACGAAGCAGTTACTGGTGATCATCTAACTTCAGCCTCTTTCTTTACATCGCTCAAAGGCATCTTCTCTTCTAAGATTTCAGATTTATACTAGACAAAAGCCAGCAAAGAAATTCTAATGTTACATTTCTGTTGAGGATCTGCTAAAATAAAATTGTTACATTACGATCATGAACACCCAATCACGTTTTAGGGATCCATTTCACGTGTTTCTAACAATAATATAACTAAGAATTTTAAAAAATTTTAATTCTATGCATTTTCATGTCTTATACAATCAATAAAAAATCCTGTTTAAAAATGTAGTTTAACTCATTCATTTGGTACATTTCACAATTATAATGTATGAAAAAATAAATCCACCTGACAGTTTAAAAACAATTAAATTGACTAAAATCCTCATAAATACAATAGATATTTTGCTCTGAGATTTTTTGTCTGAGATATTTTTTCTAAGAGCATTTTTGCTCATGGTATCATTTTCCTATTATATTTGTCCAGATACCATAACGTAAAGAAAATATTAAATACACTAACATTGCTAAAACATTTTAAACGGATCAATGTCAAATATCATTTTCGTTTAGATTCCTAGAAAAAATTGATACATTTTAATAATAATAGGGTCGAAAAACTAGTTAGTTAAACTTTTTTGTAATTTTGCCAAGCGAGGTAATTTAAAAATAAATTCAATTCAAGATAATGATAAAAAATGTTAAGGCCAAATTTCCAAGAGGGAATTATTGTTGGAATAATATAATTAGCAAAATGTTAATAAAAATTCTGCAGAGGACATTACTGTAAGAGGACATTATCGTTGGAATATTATAATTAGCATGGATTGATAAAAGGCAATCTTTTATTTATTTTGTTCACTCAACGTACTGTTTACTAATTATAATTTTGAATCTACTATTCCGCACTATCAAATTCGTTATGTGCGCAATGGATTTAGTCATGAAACTCTATTTTAATTTTTTATAATTTAAAGTACTAAAAATAAAAGGCATAAATTTATAAAGTGCAATATGGTAGGTAAAACACGGATATTTTAAATACTGCCTTTTATTTATTTTATACACTGAACGTACAGTTTACTAATTATTATTCTATATTTCGGTTTGCGGACAAGCTGGGGGTTTTATAATCGTTCACTGAATCAGGCGCGACTGCCGGTGCTCGGACAGGGTGTAATTTGGCGCCACGGGCTAGACTATGAGCACTATGCGTTTATTTCGCATTTAAGTCATGTTTATGTTATGAGTGTTCTCTCTTGTGCTTGTGTTGCGTTTGTGTTTTAGTGTGTGTTTGCATTGTGTTTGTTTGCATTATGTTTGTGTTTTCTTTTGTTTTTATGTTGTGTTTATGTTTTCTTTTGTGTTTTTTTGTGTTTGTGTTTGTGTTGTGTTTGTGTTGTGTTTGTGTTGTGTTTGTGTTGTGTTTGTGTTGTGTTTGTGTTGTGTTTGTGTTGTGTTTGTGTTGTGTTTGTGTTGTGTTTGTGTTGTGTTGTGTTTGTGTTGTGTTTGTGTTGTGTTTGTGTTTTCTCTTGTGTTTTCTCTTGTGTTTGTGTTTCTATTGTGTTGCAATGTGTTGTGTTTGTGTTTAGTTTTGTTCTGTTCCCAAGTTGGGACATTCAAAAAAGATTTACCGTGGCCGAGCACAGGGGTGCACCTCTAAAAACGGCCCGGGACCAATTGGGCCCCGTCAAATCGGCCCTGTTAATATGACCCCGTCAAATCCACCCCCGACAAAACGACCCCGTCCAAATAGCCCCGTCAAAAGGGCCCCAGACTTATTGGCTGCCGTCAAATGGGCTCCCGTCATACTGACTCGCGACATATAGGCACCCGAGAAATGGGCTACCGACATTTAGGCTTCCGACAAATGGACTCCCGACATATTATCTCCCGACAAATAGGCTCAGGACATATTGGCTCGCGACAAAGCGGCTCTCGACATATTGGCTCCCGACATAAGGGCTCACGACATATTGGCTACCGACAAACGGGCTCCCGACATATTGGCTTCCGACAAAATGACTCCCGACATATCGGCTCCAGACAAACGAAACGCATTGGCATAAATGTAATCATTTGTCCTACATCCACTACCACCATAACCTCTTTAAAATGCCTGCATGAAATTGTTTTTCATGAACCAACATCAATTCACAAACAAATCTAGCCCTTAACAGCTAAATTCCACCAATTCTAAAATTTTGATAATTTTTAATTTACAACCGAAAAGATCTGTTGGTTAAAAGCAAGCACAGAAGTGTAAATGTGTGATATACATGATGTTTACACGATAACGACATTTTGTTTTGATAACCTACAAGCATATTGCTGGTAGGAATGTACAGCGTGGACCCCTCTCCCCACACACTGAGTTGGAACAGCCTAAAAACGACTCACTTATGGAAGTCATAGATAGATGACCCTTAAATTAAAACATACTATTTTTTATACTAAATAAAATGTTATAAAAATAAGGCCTGTTTAACAAGAGATGCATAAGTTATATTACTTAAGAGTGTTAGATAAGCTAACTCTAAAGAATATTGATGAAGGTGTCCCACTGGCAGGTTTCATATTCGATGAGACTGTTTTGCCGGGAGACTTAGTCTCTACGGGAACCGTATTGTCAGTGGTCCTTTTGTCGTGAGCCAAACTGACGGGAGCCTATTTGTCGGGAGTCGTAATGACGGGAGCCGTTTTGTGGAAAAGCTAAATGGCGGTAGCCTGTTTGTCGAGATTGGTAATGACGGGGGCCGTTGTGTCGAGAAACTAAATGACGGGAGCCTATATGTCGGGAACCTTATTGACTGGGGCCCTTTTGTCAAGAGCCTATATGACGGGAGCCTATTTGTTGGCAGCCTATATGACTGGGTCAATATGTCGCTGGCCCTTTTGTCGGGGTCGATGTGACGGGGCTTTTATGTCGGGGCCGATTTGTAGGGATCGTATTGACGTGGCTATTTTGTCACTGGCCGTTTTGACGCCCGTACGGTGCACGGGTATGCAGCTAGTATATATATATATATATGTATATATATATATATATATATATATATATATATATATACATATATATATATATATATATATATATATATATATATATATATATATATATATATATATATATATATATATATATATATATATATATATATATATATAATTTTGTTTGTGGGGGGGGGGGGGGGGCTTTTTCTAGTTCCGCCACTGCTTCTACTTTGTACATTACGTCACCCCACGCCATGCTACGCTACGATATTTTATTTGATTTCCAGGTTGAAAGTACAAGATTATATATACGCAGAAACATTGCAGTTGGTGATAGAGTGCGATCTGAACTTTCACCGAGAGCGACAGCAGTTACGTAAGTATTTTTCCTTGTTCTTTTCGACTGTTCAATTAATTTGGAATTTTCTATAGATGGATCGGATATATGAAAGATGCAAGGTGCTGACACTTTTCTTTCAGTAGTTATCTCAACTTCTGCGACATTCGTTGAAAATTAAAAACAAATCTTTCCTTTGAAGAGTACAGGCCGCTTGTTTAAATATTTGTTATTATAGCCGCCCACGCTTTTATTTATAGTGATATAAGTAGTAGTGCATTGTAACAACATCAATTTCATTGTTGTTATTGTGGGTACGTTTAATAAACTCACACGAGCAATAGTAGTAACTTCAACTATAACTTTATTTACACTTTATACAGAGAATTAATAGATCCATAGTAAATCCATAGTCACAACTTGTATAAGTACAATCACAGTCACGAATCAAAGTGACGTAGTGACATCCTACATTCACAGCCACAGTCTCCAAGTCCAAGTCCTTTCATTCACCTTGCGCTCCCCTTTTATTCCCCACTTTCTCTCCCCTTACGTCAATGAGCGATCTCACCCAAAAACATGGAAAAACACATGACGATCGCTCAGACAGTCCTTCCGCTAGCCAGGTACTCTACATTAATGCAACTTCATGTAAAACACAATAATATAAACATATCGAATTATACAGTCTGTGACATGCATTAATATATTTATATTAATTTTTTTTATATTTAAAGTAACCGCAGATTTATCATATTTTTAAAAAAAAAATATATTTAATAAAAAATTGTAATATTTTTTTTTCTTTTTAGTGCATTTATAAAAGCTTGTAATTATAAACGTTTTTATATATTTATTATGTTTATACTTTTTAGCATTAACGAGTTATACGCATGTTAAGACAATATAGTGTAGCAACAAATATAATGATACACAATTTGAAATGTGTAACTGGTTGAACGGGCTCAAATTCCCGTGAGGCGGGTGTAGGCGTGACTTTCGTTGGACAATGTGATGACGCAACAATCTCATCTCAACGCTGGTTGAGACGTCTACGTCCTTAGAGTGGTTATACAATGAAACGAAGCTGGGCTGATGCGATGACGAACAATGACGTAACATTCCGTCGCTAGGAACTTCTAGCGCAGTGGTTCCCAACCTTTTATGGGTGACGACCCCCTTTCATAAAACGTTAGTGACCCGCGACCCCCATATATTTAACAAGTCGAAATTAGTAAAGAAAATAATAAGCACTAAATTAATATTTTCTAGTAGACTTTCAATATGAATTATTTTTGATAACTATTTTAATACGATGAGCAAAATTACACGCTATTAACAAGCATTAACTAGTATTAACAATTAAATTTTGCAAATTTAAGAATTCATCTTGTTATTCATCGGCAATGCTGGTAACATCAAGGAAAGCAGAGAATGGGTGACAATGCAGATTCTTCTTCTTTCAGCTCAGGGAAATAACGCCGCAGTTCGTTGTCAAGAGATTCAAGATGCCCAGAATCCTTTAAAATGTTTGTCTATCACACCACACTGCAGAGTTTCTCAAACATGACAGTATTTCAAATATTTATTTTTCCTCGCCAATTTTG